TTTTACTTTACATCAGTTTTTTTTATAAAAATTTACGCCAAAAAAAATCTGCTCTGCTCTCTAACCCTATAGAGTTAAAAGACCCTAACAGAAAGCAAGTTACCAAATTAAAATCAGTCATTTGATTATCAGTGAATTGTTTTTAGTTATATGCGATTTGGGGCGGCAGTGTGAGCACTTTTTCCTCCAGTAGTAGGTCTGTACCAGCGCCGACACTCGACATGTGCTTGCCGCTAACCAATATGAGTTAAAATCTTTTAATAGAAGCGATCATTTAGAGCATAGACAGTAAACAACGTGCAATCATCTAGCCGGGGCAGGTCGGGGTCGCATTATCTGCCGAGACGCGCGCCCTCTGCCGCACCCGCGCCGCGGCGCCCGACACTCATCTCTGCGACATCGGTTTCGTTCATACAAATTATAACCCAATTATCTAATATCTATATCTTTGGGTAGTCTAATTAAACGAACTTTAACGTAGTTGAAGGAATATATGTTTAGTTACTTTTAAGTAATCTTGCATAGGTTTTAATTATTTAAAGTAATTTTCCATTATTAGTTAGGCCCATAAAACAAGTTTATCTGCCGGTACACACATTATTGAAACATATATATATAACTTTGGTTAGGTTGGTTAGGTTTCTGTCTCAAAACTTTTCTAATAAAACAACTTCTCTACATTTTTGATACTAATGTATATCTATATCTGTACTAATATTATAAAGAAGACAGATTTGTATTTTTGTATATATTGAAGTAACTCAAAAGTAGTGGACTAATTTCAAAAATCCTTTCACCATTAAAAACCAACGTTATCAGTGAGTAGCATAGGCAAAATTTTTTATTACTTTTTAATTTCACGCAGGCAAAGTCACGAGCAAAAGCTAGTTTGATACAAATTGACTATTTGTTTAATATTTACGCATGTTGTGATGAGTGTTTATTTTTTTAAATAAGATACACACAATCGTTATTGAAACGAAACACTTGAAGTCTTATGTTAAAATAACTTTTTTGTTAACACCTCTAAGCAACTTCAATTACGTAAATGGATTGACGTCAGAATTACGATGTTCGTATATAAATGCAGCAATTGCCTTGACGTAAACACTACTCAAAGGATATATAAAAACGGAACCATGGGTAAAATATTTTGTTAAAATTAAAAATAATAAAAAGACACAACAAATATAGAAAATAAGGCAAACTTTAAAGATTCAAATGCTTTGACATATTACATAAAAGGGACAAAAGATACAACCAAGTATGAAGCCAAATCTTACTATTTTTACTTATCTTACTAATATTTTAAATGCGAAAGTTTAGATGGATGGATGTTTTGAGTTTGTAGCCTAAACGGCTGAACGGATCTCGATGAAATTTGGCATAGATATAGAGGATAGACTGGAAGAACACATACGCTACTTGGTTTTGTTTTTTTAATACCACGCGGACGGAGTCGCGGGCGAAAGCTAGTATTTTATAAACAAATAAAAACGATAGATTATTTCGTATCGTTACTACATTAAACTATAGTCTAGATACTAGACTGTTAGGTTGATTGATTTCTACTTCATTAAGGCGTGTACAGTCGTGGAAATCCTCAGTGTTCTACTTAAGGAAAAATTGGCATGTTCATTGCAATGAGACAAACGCCGCCTCTTTCTACAAATAACTAATTGAGCAGCATAAAGTGGTGCAATCGAAAGGATCATAATAAAAATAAACTAGCCGTGTATTACTAACCGACTTTTTTCGTACAGATCCATTTATAAGTTGCTTTGTGTTTTTGTACACGAGTCTAGTTTCAGATTGTGGCTTTTTAGTAGAATCATCGCCAGTTTTTCTGACTATACGTGTTTATTTTTAAGGTATTTCACTTCTTCCCAAAGGAGGTTATCAATTCGTCTGTATTTTTTTATTCTAACATGTTTTCAAATGACATTATCGACAAACACACTTATCAGTTTTTCATTTTAAAAATAGTTAAGAATTCATTTCCGGCTTAATAATAAAATGGATATCAAGATATCAATACGAGTAATACATATTGTTATTACTCATTTTATCAGCGATTTCCAAACATTTTTCTCATAGACCCATTTGAGAATGTACTGATTTCTGTGCACCTTTTGTTACTAAATTTATTTTTGTAGTTGTGTTGTTTTAAACGTTGAAATTGTGGGTTCCTTATTTTCGGCCATCGTTTTGACCACTTTGGGAATAACTGCGTTAAATGATAAGATGCATTAAATAACCATACGTAATTATACTCACTATATAATAGGTTAGTATTACCGTATAATTGTTTGATGCAATGCAACACGAATGGATAATTTTATTGAATGATTTGCAGAATTTTATTCGCAGAAAAACTTGATCGGAGATTATGTCAATCGCAATGGACTTCGGACCTTTAAAACTAGTAATATAACGCCGGTACAAAGTACAACTGTATTATCTATTGCGATTTTTATATCGATATTAAAGTCACGTGTCATTTGACCTTGTTGGACTTTAGGTTTGGACTTTGAAATTCATGAGATTTTAATAATAATTCAGGACCTGGAATACATTTGGGTAACTAACAGTGGATAAAATTATTACATCAAAGTAATTTTATCTAACTAGCTGTCGCCCGGGAGTCCACAACCGCGTAAATTAAAAAAAACATTTCAGTAGCCTATAATTTCCACCCAGTGTTCTACATCTGTGCCAAATTTCAATTAAATCTGTTGAGATATTATCAAAAAATGTAACAAACATCCATCCATCCATCCATCTAAACGCATTTATATTATACATGAGTATGAAGTATGATAGATTATTAATAAAATATTTCAGGTCCTAAATAAAATCCTTATCAGTTCCAAAGTCCATGCCTAAAGAAAGTTCGAGGTCATACGACATGTGATTTTTACATGTATAAAAACTGCAATAGATAATAAAAAGTTGTACTTTGTACCGGCGTTACATTGCAACTTTTAAAGGTACGAAGTCCATTATGATGTCATAATCTCTGATCAAGTTTTGCATTAATCACATCATTATATTTATCAGATAATTATAACATGTAGAAATTAATAAATATATAAAGCTTCTGGTTTCTTTCGTCTTTTACTCAATTGTATTATAACACTTCAACAATCATATCTCACGATGGAGGTCAAGAGTTTTATATTGTAAGTATTGTAATAGTCATTTATTTCAAACCTTACTAAAATTTCGTACATCACAATAATCTGATCTAAATAATCTGCTGTTACTGACGTGCGAAGGACGCAAAGGCATTTGCAGAATATCAGCGTTTACTACCCCCAGGGGTAGTAAACACATAGCTGAGCAAAGGCCCTATCTGTTCTGCATTGCAACACTTACAGAGTTTCAGCCCTCATTTCGTTTATTTATTTATTATTTTTTTTTTGACGTCATATACTTGTTTTTGGCATGTTTTTACTTTTAGTTGTAATTGGTATAATTTTAATTTTAAATTTGCTATTTTCTGTGTGTTGTGATTTTTTGTAAGTGCTGTAGTGTTCTGAATAGATTAAATGATTATTATTATTATTATTCATATATCTTTATTTCTTACTCTCTATATAATACATTTTACAATAATATAAAAATCAAAATAAAATATATTATATACAAAATAGAGCACCACCGGCTGCGGAATCCGATGACTCAAGCAACCAGTGGTCAGGGCTGCAGAGACAGGAACCTCCTCACTATTCGTGCGGTTTCTAAAATAACCGCCTTTTGAATCGGGCCCTTAATCCAACTGTCTAGCGAGAGCTTCTTGAGGTGTTGGTCGAAGCTCTTCGCTTTAATTATTATTATTATTAAATTAATGCTATAATGGATAAGATACGAAATGAGTATATTAGAGGAAGTTTGAGAGTAGCCCCCGTAGTAGAGAAGGTAAAGAGTAAAAGGTTAGCATGGGGGCATGTTATGAGGAGGAATGAATC